ATGTATGTATTATAGATATAAACCATATTAGACAGATAATTTGAAAATATGTTTTCCCTTGCTATGGATATTCTTTTCACTTTTGTGTTTTTTATTTTTCATTTTTATTTTTGCTTGTTAGTGCTGGGGACTGAACCCAGAGCCTCACATCTACTAGGCAAGGACTCTACCCCTCAGTGACATCCCAGTCTCTCTTCTCATTTTTTGATTATATCTTTTTTACTTTGATGAAGCCCAATTTATCTTAAAATTTTTATGTGTGTATGGTGTATGTACATGTTTGCATGCTTATGTGCATGTGTACATGCAGACATGTGCATGCATATGTGTGAACATACAGGTGGAGGCCAGAAGTTGGTGTTGTGCATCTTCCTCTATTGTTCTCCACCTTATTTTTTGAGGCAGAGTCTCTAACTGAACCTGGAGGTCACGAAGTCAGCTAGGCTGGCCGGCCAGTGAGTTCCAGGGATCTACTTGTTTCTGCTCCCCCAGTGCTGGGATTACAAGCTTTCTGCTGACCCAACTTTTACATGGGTTCTGGGAATCTGAACTCAGGTTCTCATGCTTATGTGAAAGGTATTTTACTAAGTCATCTTCCTAGACTTTTATCTTTTTTGTATGTTATATGCCTTTTAGCATTATAAATTAAGAATCCATTGCTAAACTTGAAGTCATAAAGATTAGTGCCTAAGAATTTTTGTTTTTGATTCTATAGTAGGTCTTTGATTTACTTTGAGTTGATTTTTTTTATATCATGTGAACTAAGGAACAAAGCCTCATAGCTTTATGTGGCTAGTTAGTTGCCCCAGTATCATTTCTTAAAAAATCTTCTCATTGAGTGGTTTTAACAATTTTGTTAAAAAACCAGCTGATCATAGACACATGATTTATTTCTGGAATCTCAGTTACAGCCCATTGCTTCATATGTGTATTCTTGTATCAATACCATGTACACATGTCTACATGTGTGTGGTCTGCATGTATATTCACATGTGTATGGAAGCCTGAGGTGGACATCTGGCCTCTTTGCTTTATTTACTGAGGCAGGGTCTCTTGCTGAACTTGGCCTCACCAGTTCTGGCTAGTCTAGCTAGGCAGCTTGCTCTGGGGATTCTCATCTCTGCCTCCAGAGTGTTGGATTACTGGTGGCTGCCATGCCTGCCTAGCTGTCATGTGAGTTCTGGGCATCTGAATTCTGGTCCTCATGTGGAGCAAGCACTTTATCCACTGAGCCACCTCTCCAACAAAAAAAACTCACATTATCTTAATTAGCATTGCCTATTCCTAGAAACCACTGATCTTTATATAGACCCCATCTGTTCTAGTTTTTGTCAACTTGATACAAACTAGAGTCACTTGGGACAAGTCAACTGAAGAATTTCTCAGATCAGACTGACCTGTGGCCATGTCTCTGAGACATTTTCTTAACTGCTAGTTGATGTGGGAGGGCCCAGCCCATGGTGGGTGGTGCCATGCCTAGGCAGGTGGGCCTGGGTTATATAAGAAAGGTAGTTGAGCAAGCCAAGGAAAGCAAGCCAATAAGCAGTATGCCTTCATGGGCTGTGCTTCCAGTCTTGCCTTCAGGTTCCTGCCTTGAGTTCCTGCTCGGATTTTCTTCAGTCATCACTTCAGTCATGACCTGTGAGTTAGTTGTAAGATGAAATAAATCCTTTCCTCCTCAAGTTGCCTTTGGTTAGTGTTTTATCATAGGAATAAAAGTCAAATTAAGACAGCATAGTTTTGTCTTTTCCAGAACTTTATTGGAATCCTACAACATATAGCCAGTTCAGATTGGTTTAGTTGATTTGGTAATGTACATCATAATTGAATAATGTTCCATTATATGGATGTGTTAAAGTTTGTTTCTCCATTCATCTATTGAAAGACATCTTCACCACATACAAGTTTTGGCACATATAAATAAAGCTGCTTTAAACATTTGTGTGCAGGCTGGGCATGGTGGTACATACCTTTAATCACAGCACTTGGGAGACAGAGGCAAGCAGATCTCTGTGAGTCTGGTTTGCATAAAAAGTTCCAGGCCAGCCAGGGCTTCTTGGTGAGACCCTGTCTCAAAACAAATATAAAGGATGAGAAAAAAAAATATACACATAATCTTAAAATTTCTAAGGTCATTGTTTAGTCAACTAGTTCAAGGAATAAAATATATGTCTAGTCAAGGTTTAACTGAGAACGTTTGGTTTTTGACTGAGTTTTATCTACATAGCACATGGTAATTAAAAGTACCAGACTGGTGGAACTAACCTTCTTGGATATTTAACAGCCATACTTTGAGGCTTATACTAATCTGGTCAGAGGGACTTAAAGGACAATTTTTGCTCCTTGCCCTCCAAGGTTGACTAAGTG